CACCCCCACTCTCCCCCCAGGCTTCGCGCTGCTGCTGGCCCGGGACGCCCCCCACCCACCGCTTTTGGGGGGCCCCAGCCCCCCCACCGAGGACGAGGACCTCTCCCCCCACGCCGTGTAGCGGGGGGGGGGCCCAGCACCTCCTTTTTGGGGGGAGGGTCCCCCCTATGGCACCACAGCACCTCCCCCTCACCCCCCAGCACAGCCTCTGCACCCCAAAAGAGCAGCTTGGGGAGGGGGCAGCGCCCCCAGCCGCGCAACAGGGAGGGCACGGACCCCCCCCCACTCGGGCACAGGGACCCCCCACCCCCCAAAATCACACACTGCAGCTGTTAAATAAATTTTAATGCAAATTATTAGTGAATATTATTAATTGGGGGGGGGAGCTGTGTCCCCCCCGGGTTAGAGGTGAGGGAAAGCAGAGCTGGGGGGGCTCTGTGTCCCCCCCCACCCCGGGTTAGACCCTGAGCACCCACCCTGCGGGGGGGGGGGTCCCCAGCACCCACCTTTGTGTTGGGGGGGGGAAGGAAACCCCCCCCCTTTTTGGAGTTTAGCCCTGAGCCCCCCCAGCACGGGGAGGGCACAAATTCCAGTTTCTCCCCAAAAACAGAAGCAGGGAGCCCCCCCACCCCCACAACCCCCCTTGGGGGGGGTCCATCCCCCCTTTCCCCCCCGGGGGTCACACCCGGGACTGGAGGGCTCTGGGGGGGTCGCGCCGGGGGGGCCCCGGGCTGCTGCTGCCGCTGCTGGAGGAGCTGGACTGGGGGGGCTTCGGGGGGCCCCCCCGGCCTTTGAGGGTGCTGAGCCGGGCGTCCAGGGACAGGGTGCGGCGGCGGGGGGGGCTGGGGCTGCGCAGGGGGGGCCCCTCGAAGAGCGAGAGCCACGGCTGTATGGGGTCAGCCCGGGGTGGGGGTCCCACTGTATGGGGTAACCTGGGGTGGGGGTCCCTTGGATGGGGTAACCTGGGGTGGGGGTCTCACTGTATGGGGTCAGCCCGGGGTGGGGGTCCCACTGTATGGGGTCAGCCTGGGGTGGGGGTCCCACTGTATGGGGTCTCAGCCTGGGGTGGGGGTCTCACAGGAATGGGGGCGCTCTCAGGTGTGGGGTCTCTGGGTTGGGGGTCCTGGGATCCCATAGGGATGGTCTGGGGTGGGGGTCCCCCAGGGGGTTTTGTTCCTGTCCCTTCCCATCTCTGTGCTGCCCCATTCTTGTCCCCACCCATGTCACTGTCCCCACGTCTGTCCCTGTGCTGTTCTCATCCTTGTTTCTCTGGGGTCCCACAGTGCTGGGGGTCCTGGGGTGATGGGATCCCACAGGGATGGTCGGGGGTCCTGCCAGGGTGGGGGTCCCACAGGGATCAGGGGGTCCCACTGGGTTTGGGGTCCTTTAACAACACTGGGACAGGGTCCCACCAGCACGGAGGGTCCCACAGGACAGGGTCCCCCAGGGGTGGAGGGGCTCCCACAGATCTGGGGGGGTCCCGGGGGTCCCACAGGGCTGTGTCCTACAGGGCAGGGTCCCCCAGGCATGGTGGGGTTCCCGCAGGTCGGGGAGGGTCCCGGGGGTCCCCCAGGGGTGGAGGGGCTCCCGCGGGTCGGGGAGGGTCCCGGGGGTCCCACGGGGCTGGGAGGGTCCCACAGGGTTGTGCAGGGTCCTGCAGGGCTGGGTCCCCCCGGGCAGGGTCCCCCAGGGGTGGAGGGGCTCCCACATCTCTGGGGGGGATCCCGGGGGTCCCTCAGGGCAGGGTCCCCCAGGGGTCTCGGGGCTCCCGCGGGTCGGGGGGGGGTCCCGGGGGTCCCGGCTCACCCAGGTCGCAGAGGTGCTGCCCGAAGGCCTGCAGCCAGCGCTGTGCCTCGGCGGGGCTCTCGGCCAGCAGCGCGTGTGTCACCTCCTCCCCGCCCAGCCGGTTGGTGACGGCCACCCCGGGGGGCTGCCCGCGGGACCCCCCCTCCAGCGCCCGCACCCGCGTGTCCTGCGGCACCGGCAGGGCTGGGGGCGGCCACGGGAGCCCGGGGACCCCAGGGACCCCCAGAGAGACCCAGGGAGCCCAGAGAGCTCCCCAGAGACCCCACAGCCCCCAAAGTCCCCACAGCCCCTATAGACCCCAGAACACCCCAGAGACCCCAAAACACTCCACAGACCCCAGAACGCCCCAGAGCTCCCCACAGCCCCCAGAACGCCCCACAAACCTCAAACCCCCCCAGCCCCCCACCTCCCTTTCTCCCCACGCCCACCACGCCCCCATGTCCCCTCCATCCCCCACAACCCCAGAGCCCCCACACTGCCTGTGCCCCCCGAGCCCGGCAGCCCTGCGTGTCCCCTGTGTCCCCCGTGTCCCCTGTGTACCTTGGTGACAGCGATGGTCAGGGTGGGCTCCTGCCCTGCCTCAGCCTGGCCGGCGCTGCCGTAGCAGAGCAGCCCAGGGCCCTGCAGGACGCAGAACAGGGGGGCCCCGCCCGGCCCCTCGGCCCCCGGAGCCTGGCCCAGACCCCCGGAGCCTCAGCACCCATGGGTGGCACCACAGCACCCACGGGTGACAGCACAGCACCAGTGTCCCCCATGCCCAGCACACCCAGCTCCACCCTCCCAGTCCAGACCCACTGGTGGGTTTGTGCCACCACCCATCCTGCCCCCATCCCTGTCCCTGCCCTGGTCCCAGGCACAGGGGTACGTACATTCCATCCCTCTATCCCATTCCCAATCTCATTCCCAATCCCATTCCCTCTGTCCCATTCCCAATCCCATTCCCTCTGTCCCAATCCCATTCCCTCTATCCCTATCCCATTCCCAATCCCATTCCCTCTACCCCATTCTCTCACTTGCATCTGCAGAGTCCCTGTTATTGTGGAGGTGTTTATGCAGCTCATCCCATTCCTGCATCCCATTCCTCTATCCCATTCCTACATCCCATTTTATTTCTCTATCCCATCCCTATATCCCATTTCTCCATCCCATTTCTCCATGCATTCCTATATCCCATTTCCCTATGTCCCATTTCCTTATATCCCATTCCACTATCCCATCCCTATATCCCACTTCCCTATATACTATCTATCCCATTTTTCTATCCCATTTCCCTCTACCCCATTTCCCTATGTCCCATTTTCCTATATTATCTCCCTATATACCATTATTCCCCTCTATCCCATTATTCCCCATATCCCATTTATCCTGTTCCCTCCCCTGCAGTCACAGTGTCCCTTTATCATGGCAGCGTTAACAAACCCCATCTCCAGCCATCCCTGTTATCTGTGTCCCCATCTCCATCCCTGTTCATCCCCATCACTGTCCTTGCTCCTGTCCCTCACCCTGTCCCCATCCTGCCCCCATCCCTGTCCCTGTCCCTATCCTGGTCCCAGGCACAGGGGTACGTACATTCCATCCCTCTATCCCATTCCCAATCCCACCCTCCATCCATCCTGACCCCACACTCCATCCATTCCCAATCCCACCCTCCATCCATTCCCAATCCCACCCTCCATCCATTCCTGATCCCCCCTCCATCCATTCCTGAACCCAACCCTCCATCCATTCCTGACCCCGTCCTCCATCCATTCCCGATCCCACCCTCCATCCATTCCTGATCCCACCCCTCCATCCCACCAGTCCCTCCCACTCCAGGTGCCATCCCCGGTGCCATCCCCGGTGTCCCTCCCGCTGTCCCTCCCGGTGCCATCCCCGGTGTCCCCCCGGTGCCATCCCCGGTGTCCCTGACCTGCAGCCGCAGTGTCCCCGTCGCCGCGGGGGTGTCCATGCAGCGGGGCCGGGCCGCCAGGCGACAACACATGCGGCCATAGAGGGGCACCCAGCAGGGGCTCTGCTCTGGGGGGACACGGGGACACGGGGGGACATGGAGGGACCCCCACACTGACCCCAAACCCCCTGGCAGGGCTCTGTTCTGCTCTGCACTGCTCTGGGCGCACACGAGGCTCTTGGGGGTTCAGAGGGACCCCCAGACCCCAAAAGGATCCCAGACCCCGCCCCTCCTCGTGCCAGGACCCCCAGACCTCCCCATCCCCCATGGACCGAGACCCCAAATTCATCCTCACCCCTGCAGGACCCAAAATTCCAGAGCCCCCAAATCCCGGATCTCCAAATCCCAGATCCCAAAATTTCAGACCTCCCCAAATCCCAGACCCCGCAAAATCCCAGACCCTCAAATCCCAGTCCACCCAAATCCTGGACCCCCAAATCCCAGACCGCAAAATCCCAGGCCCCCCAAATCCCGGACCCCCAAATCCCTGACCCCAAAATCCTGGCCTCCCCGATTCCTCCCCATCTGTTCCAGCCCCATTGCCCTGTTTGGGGGTGCCATGGGGTGTGTGGGGAGTTTTGGGGTGTTCTGGGGTGCCACGGGGTGATTAGGGGGTGTTACAGGGTGTTTTGGCGTGCCATGAGGTGTTTAGGGGTGTTTTGGGGTGTTACGGGGTGCCACGGGTTATTATAGGGCACCATGGGGTGGTTATGGGGTGTTACAGGGTGTTATAGGGTGTTTTGGCGTGCCATGAGGTGTTTAGGGGTGTTTTGGGGTGTTACGGGGTGCCACGGGTTATTATAGGGCACCATGGGGTGGTTATGGGGTGTTACAGGGTGTTATAGGGTGTTTTGGGGTTTCATGGGGTATTTAGGGGTGTTTTGCGGTGTTATAGGGTTCTATAGGGTGTCTATGGGGTGTTAAAAGCTGTTATAGGGTGTTATATGGTGTTTTGGGGTGCCCCGGGCTGTTTTGGGGTGTTTATGTGGAGTCACGGGGCATTTAGAGGTGCTGCAGGATGTTTTGGGGTGTTTATGGAGTGCCATGGGGTGTTTTGGGGTTCCACGGGACGTTTAGGGGTACCCCGGGCTGTTATGGGGTGCCATGGGGTGTTTATGAGGTGTTACAGGGTATTTTGGGGTGCCCAGTCTGTTTTGGGGTGTTTGTGGGATGTTTTGGGGTGTTTATGGGGTATTTAGGGGTGTTTATGGGCTGTTTGGGGTGCCCCGGGCTGTTTTGGGGTGTTTATGGGATATTTAGGGGTGTTTATGGGGTATTTAGGGGTGTTTATGGGCTGTTTGGGGTGTTTATGGGATATTTAGGGGTGTTTATGGGATATTTAGGGGTGTTTATGGGGTATTTAGGGGTGTTTATGGGCTGTTTGGGGTGCCCCAGCCCCACTGACCGTCGGCGGCGATGACGAGGTCGTGGGTGCGGAACCCGTCGTGCACCTGGGCCAGGGACAGCACGGTGTGTGCCAGCAGCTGGAACCGGGGACACCTGGATGGGACAGGGACACTGGGGACACCTGGGACAGGACAGGGACACTGGGGACAGGGACAGCACGGTGTGTGCCAGCAGCTGGAACCGGGGACACCTGGATGGGACAGGGACACTGGGGACACCTGGGACAGGACAGGGACACTGGGGACAGGGACAGCACGGTGTGTGCCAGCAGCTGGAACCGGGGACACCTGGGACAGGGACACTGGGGACAGGGGACACTGGGGACACCTGGGATGGGACAGGGACACTGGGGACACTGGGACAGGGACAGCACGGTGTGTGCCAGCAGCTGGAACCGGGGACACCTGGATGGGACAGGGACACTGGGGACACCTGGGACAGGACAGGGACACTGGGGACAGGGACAGCACGGTGTGTGCCAGCAGCTGGAACCGGGGACACCTGGGACAGGACAGGGACACCGGGGACACTGGCACATCTGGATGGGACAGCGACACCGGGGACACTGGGGACACCTGGGACAGGACAGGACAGGGACAGCACGGTGTGTGCCAGCAGCTGGAACCGGGGACACCTGCGACGGGACATGGACACTGGGGACACCGGGGACAGGGACACTGGGGACACCGGGGACACTGAGGACACTGGTGGGTCACGGGGACACCGTGGGGACATTGGGGGGTTGGGAAGGATGCGGGGGTCTGGGAGCACAGGGGGGACATGGCTGGGACACAGGGGGACATGGGGCCCACAGGGGGGCACACAGTGACACACAGGTGGCACACAGTGACACAGAGGGCACAGGTGACACACGGGTAACACACATACGACACACAGTGGCACACAGGGAGCACACAGGGTCACACAGGTGGCACGCAGTGACACAGTGACACACAGTGACACCCAGTGACACACAGGTGACACAGATGACACCCAGTGACACCCAGCGGTACTCACGGCACGCCGGGCGGCGGCAGCAGCGCGGCGGTGCCCGGGGGGCTGCCCGCTGTCCCCTCGGCGTGTGCCCGTGCCCGGCGGCCCGCGGCGCGGCCCAGCGAGCTGCCCAGGCGGGTGGCCAGGCGCCGGGGGGAGCTGCCCTGCGCCCCCCCGGGCAGCCCCGCGCTGTACAGCTCCAGCCGCAGCTCGAAGTCGGGGCCCGCCTCCGAGCTGGGGACACAGCGACACCGCGGGGTCAGGGACACGGGGACACTGCAGGGGACAGCCCCAGGGGATACCCCACGGGCTATGGGGACACCGCGGGGTCAGGGACACCGGGGGACACCCCCAGGACATCCCCAGGGACTGCAGGGACACAGCAGGGTCACAGCGAGGTCAGGGACACCGGGGGACACCCCCAGGGCCACCCCATGGGCTACGGGGACACAGCAGGGTCAAGGACACAGCGGGGACACTCCCAGGGCAACCCCCAGGGGACACCGCAGGGACTGCGGGGACACGGCGGGGTCAGGGACACGGGGACAGCCAGGGGACACCCCATGGGCTGTGGGGACACAGCGGGGACGGGGAAGGGTGAGGGTGAGGCAGGGGTCACCCCCAGAAGGGGTCAGAGGGGGATTTGGGGTCCCCTGGAGCAGGGACAGGAGAGGGGAGGGGTCCCCAAGTGGGGGCTGGTGGTGGCAGTGGCCCTGGGGGGTGTCAGGGTCCCACAGAGGGGTGTGGGGGTGATCAGGGGTCTCTGGGGGGATCAGGGGTCCCATGGGGGCATATTGGGGTGGTTGGGGGTCCCCTAGAGAGGCTCAGGGGTCCCACGGGGATGTCAAGGGGAGTGTCAGGGTCCCATAGGGGGTGTCAGGGTCCCAGGGAAGGGTGTGGAGGTATTGGGGGTCCCATGGGAGGGTCAGGGGTCCCCCAGGGGGGTGTCAGGGACCCACAGGGGGTGCCAGGGTCCCACAGAGGGGTGTGGGGATGATCAGGGGTCTCTGGGGGGGGACCGGAGATCCCCTAGGGGGGGCAGGGGTCCCATGGGGGTGTATTGGGGTGGTTGGGGGTCCCCTAGGGAGGCTCAGAGGTCCCATGGGGATGTCAAGGGGAGTGCCAGGGTCCCACAGGGGGTGTCAGGGTTCCATAAGGGTGTGGGGGTGATTGGGGGTCCCATAGAAAGGCTAAGGGGTCCCATGGGGGGATATGGGGGTGTCAAGGGTCCCATGGGGGGTGCCAGAGTTCCTGGGAGGTCTGGGGGTGATCAGGGGTCCCACGGGAGGGATCAGGGGTCCCATGAGGGGTGGCAGTGGCCCTGGGGGGATGTGGGGGTGGTTGGGGGTCCCCTAGACAGGCTCAGGGGTCCCATGGGGAGTGCCAGGGTCCCACAGGGGGTGTCAGGGTCCCATAGGGGGTGTGGGGGTGCCAGGGAAGGGTGTGGGGGTATTGGGGGTCCCATGGGAGAGTCAGAGGTCCCCTAGGGGGATGTCAGGGTCCCCTAGAGGGTGTGGGGGTGCCAGGGATCCCATGGGAGGGTCAGGGGTCCCTTAGGGGGGTGCCAGGGTCCCAGGGGTCCCGTGCAGGTGATCAGGGGTCCCTTAGGGGGGTGCCAGGGTCCCAGGGGTCCCGTGCAGGTGATCAGGGGTCCCTTAGGGGGGTGCCAGGGTCCCGAGGAGGGTGAGGGGGTGCCGGGGGTCCCGTGCCCCCCCTCACAAGAGCACGGCTCCCTCGAAGCAGATGTCGGTGAGGGTCCTGTCCACCAGCACCGTGGGGGTGTCGTGGATCTCGGCCCCCACCTGCAGCAGCAGGAACACGGCACAGCGGTGCAGCTCTGGGGGGCACCGGGGGGGTCAGGGGGGCACCGCAGGGCACGGGGGCACCCCCGGCACCCCGACACTCACCCCCCTTGTTCCTGAAGTACTCCGTGTCCTTCCACATCAGCGGGATGCGCAGATCTGGGGGGAAGGGGAGGGCAGGAGGGGGGTGAGACCCCCTGGGACGCCCCCAGACCCCCCACCCAACACGCAGATGGTGCCGCGGGGGGGGCAGGCATGGAGGATGGGGTTCCCCCTCCCCAGAACCCCCCGGGACCCCCCATACCTGAGATGCAGACGGTGCCCCGGCACGGCACCCGCTCAGCCCCGGGCCCGCCCTCCGAGGGGCTGCGGGGATGGGAAGGGTCAGCAACGCTCCCCCGGGTTTTGGGGTGCTCCCCGCCACGTTTGGGGTGTCCCCAAAGCTCCCCCCCAGGTGTTGGGGTGCTCCCCGCCATGTTTGGGGTGTCCCCTGCCACCACACCCCCACTGTGTGCCCCACAGGATTTCCCTGTTCCCCCCAAATTTCGGGGTGTCCCTCACTGACATAGCCTCCTCAAAAGGGTCACCCACCCATCCACCCCTGGGTTTTGGGGTGTCCCTCACCGCCGTGTCCCCCATGTCCCCCCAGGTTTTGGGGTTTTGGGGTGTCCCTCACTGCCATGCCCCTCATATCCCCCCCCAGGTTTTGGGGTGTCCCTCACTGCTGCATCCCCCATATCCCCCCAGGTTTTGGGGTGTCCCTCACTGCTGCATCCCCCATATCCCCCCAGGTTTTGGGGTGTCCCTCACTGCCCTGTTCCCCATATTGCCCCCAGGTTTTGGGGTGTCCCTCACTGCTGCATCCCCCACATCACCCCCAGATTTTGGGGTATCCCTCACTGCCCTGTTCCCCATATCCCCCCCACGTTTTAAGGTGCCCCTCACCGCCACACCCCCCACAGTGTCCCCAAACCCCCTCCCTAAGCTTTGGTGACCCTCCAGGTTTTTAGGATGCCCCTGTGGGGTTCTCCACTCCCCCTCCACCTCAGGGGTCCCGCAGGTTGCCCTCCCCACCTCTGGGCATCCCTTGGGGTACCCAGTTCCCCCCGCGATGATTTTCGGGGTGCCTCACCGCCGGGCCCCCCTCAGCCGGGCCTCCTGGCGCCGCTGCAGCTCGCCGCCGGCCGCGACCACCCTGGCGTCGCACAGCACCAGGGTCTTGGTGGTCTCCAGCGCCTGCTCGGGCCGGCTGCAGGCGGGGAGCAGCCGCCGCGCGCCCTCCCGCACCCGCTGCAGCTCCGGCTCCTGGGAACCAGAACACTGGGGGGTCAGGGGCCCCCAAAACCCCTCTGAACCCTCAGAGCCCGCTCCAGGGCCTGCTGCAGCTCCGGCTACTGGTGAGTGGAACATTGGGGGTCAGTGGGACCCCAAAACATTTCACATACACACAGTGACTGCAACGGGGCCCGCTGCAGCTCCGGCTCCTGGGGACGGCATATGGGGGTGAGGGGGACCCCAAAACCCCTGTGAACCCACAGTGACTGCAACAGGGCCCGCTCCAGGGCCCGCTGCAGCTGCGGCTCCTGGGGATGGGATATGGGGGGTCAGGGGACCCCAAAACCCTTCACAATACACACAGTGACTGCAACGGGGCCCGCTGCAGCTCCGGCTCCTGGAGATGGGATATGGGGGGTCGGGGGACCCCAAAACCCTTCACAATACACACAGTGACTGCTACAGGGCCCACTGCAGCTCTGGCTCCTGGGAATGGGGACATGGGGGTCAGAGGGGCCCCAAAACCCCTCCCGCACCCGGAGGGCCCGCTCCAGGGACAACTGCAGCTCCGGCTCCTGGGAGGGGAACATTAGGGGTCAGGGGGACCCCAAAACACTTCACATACACACATAGCTCGCTCCAGGGCCTACTGCAGCTCTGGCTCTTGGGGAAGGGAACACTGGGGTCAGGGGGACCCCAAAACCCCTGTGAACCCACAGTGACTGCAACAGGGCCCGCTCCAGGGCCCGCTGCAGCTGCGGCTCCTGGGAACCAGAACATTGGGGTCAGAGGGACCCCAAAACACTTCACATACACACAGTGACTGCAACAGGGCCTGCTCCAGGGCCCGCTGCAGCTCCGGCTCCTGGTGAGGGGATATGGGGGTCAGGGGACCCCAAAACCCTTCCCATACACACAGGGCCTGTTCCAGGGTCCACTCCAGGGCCCACTGCAGCTCCGGCTCCTGGGGAGAGCCATTTGGGGGTCAGGGGGACCCCAAAACCCCTCTGACCCCACAGTAACTGCAACAGGGCCTGCTTCAGCTCCAGCTCCTGGGGAGGGACACTGGGGGGGTCAGGGGGGCCCCAAAACCCTTCCCGGACCCTCAGGGCCAGCTTCAGGGCCTGCTGCAGCTCCGGCTCCTGGGGAGGGACATTTGGGGGTCAGGGGGACCCCAAAACACTTCACGTACACACAGTGACTGCAACAGGGCCTGCTGCAGCTCTGGCTCCTGGGAACCAGAACATTGCGGGGTCAGGGGCCCCCAAAACCCTTCCCGGACCCTCAGGGCCCGCTCCAGGGCCCGCTGCAGCTCCGGCTCCTGGGGAGGGACATTGGGGGGGTCAGGGGGGCCCCAAAACCCTTCCCGGACCCGCAGCACCTGCTCCAGGGCCCACTGCAGCTCCAGCTCCTGGGGACGGGTTATGGGGGTCATGGGGACCCCAAAACATTTCACATACACACAGTGACTGCTACAGGGCCTGCTGCAGGGCCCGCTGCAGGGCCCGCTGCAGCTCCGGCTCCTGGGGAGGGACATGGGGGTCAGGGGGACCCCAAAACCCTTCCCGGACCCGCAGCGCCTGCTCCAGGGCCCGCTGCAGCTCCAGCTCCTGGGGACGGGATATGGGGGTCATGGGGACCCCAAAACATTTCACATACACACAGTGACTGCTACAGGGCCTGCTGCAGGGCCCGCTGCAGGGCCCGCTGCAGCTCCGGCTCCTGGGGAGGGGAACACTGGGGGTCAGGGAGACCCCAAAATCCCTCTGAACCCACAAAACACACTGCAGCTCCAGCTCCTGGCAATGGCACAACTGGGGGATCAGGGGGACCCTAAAATCCCTCTGCAACCACAGCACCCACTCCAGGGCCCGCTGCAGCTCCGGCTCCTGGGGAGGGACATGGGGGTGAGGGGGACCCCAAAACCCCTGTGAACCCTCAGGGCCTGCTCCAGGGCCCGCTGCAGGTCTGGCTCCTGCAGAGGGGACATTTTGGGGTCAGGGGGACCCCAAAACCCTTCCCATACACACAGGGCCCGCTGCAGCTCTGGCTCCTGGGAATGGGAACATTGGGGGCCAGGGGGACCCCAAAACACTTCACATACACACAGTGACTGCAATGGGGCCCGCTGCAGGGCCCGCTGCAGCTCCGGCTCCTGGGAAGGGACATGGGGGGGTCAGGGGGACCCCAAAACCCTTCACATACACACAGGGCCCGCTCCAGGGCCCACTGCAGCTCTGGCTCCAGGGAATGGGACATTTGGGGGGTCAGGGGGACCCCAAAACACCTGTGAACCCGCAGCACCCACTACACAGCCTGCTGCAGCTCCAGCTCCTGGGGAGGGACATCGGGGGGTCAGGGGGACCCCAAAACACTTCACATACACACAGGGCCCACTGCAGGGCCCACTGCACGTCTGGCTCCTGGGAATGGGACATTTGGGGGGTCAGGGGGACCCCAAAACCCCTCTGAACCCACAGTGACTGCAACAGAGCCTGTTGCAGCTTCGGCTGCTGGGAATGGGGACATTTGGGGGGTCAGGGGGACCCCAAAACCCCTCTGAACCCACAGTGACTGCTCCAGGGTCCGCTGCAGCTCCGGCTCCTGGGGATGGCACATTGCGGGGTCAGGGGGACCCCAGATTCCCTCTGCACGTACAGCAGCTCTGGGTCCTAGGAATGGCACCTTTTGGGGGTCGAGGGACCCCAAAACCCTTCCCACAACACCAGAGCCTGCTACAGATCCAGCTTCTGGGAATGGGCACACTTGGGGGGTCAGAGAGTCCCCAAAACCCTTCCCAGACCCACAGCATCCACTCCAGGGCCCACTGCAGCTCTGGCTGCTAGCAACGGAACATTTGGGGGGTCAGGGGGACCCCAATCCCCTCTGCACCCACAGCACACACACTGCAGCTCCAGCTCCTGGGAATGGGCACATTTGGGGTCAGGGGGACCCCATAACCCTGCCCACAACACCAGGGCCCGCTCCAGCTCCAGCTCCTGGCAATGGCACATTTGGGGGGTCACGAGGACCCCAAAACCCCTCCTGTACCCACAGAAGCTCCAGCTCCTCCCACATTCGGGGTTCGGGAGGGTCTGGGGGAAATGTGGGGCATGGCTGGCACCCCCCGACCCACCAACCCCCCCCGGGGGTGCCAGCCATGCCCAGTGGTGCCAGCCCTACACACACGGTGCGTGGGGGGGGTCCCACATTGTTTGGGGGTCCCAGCCACGCACACGGGGGGTGCCAGCCCCCCCCGCTGGGGTCCCCACCCTGCAGCACCCCACAGATTCATCGGGAACCCCATGGGCACATCCTGCACCCCACGGGGAATCCGTGAGCCCCAAAACCAGACCGTGCACCCCACAAACACATCACGCACCCCAGAGATCCATCGTGCACCCCACAGGTTTACCAGGCACCCCAGAAATTATTGCCGCACCCCACGGGGGAGCCATGCACCCCACAAACACACCGTGCACCCCACAAGGGCACCTCGTGCCCCACAAATCCATCGTGCACCCCAAAGGCAGGGCAAGCACCCCACAAACTCATCCAGCACTCCCCAGGGGAACCACACACCCCACAGATTTATCCTGCACCCCAAAACCACATCCCGCACCTCACAGATTATCCTGCACCCCAAAACCACATCCCCCACCCCACAACCATGCCATGCACCCCACAGATTTCCCACACCACCCCAAACCCATCCTGCACCCCACAGATCCACGGCGCACCCCACAAACCCCCCCAGATTCACCGAGCACCCCCAAAACCCCAAATTTCCCCCCACACCGACCACCCTCACCCCCCCCAAGTCCTTCCCGGTACCTCCTGCTCCTCCATCCCGATCCCGATCCCGATCCCGATCCCGATCCCGCCCCTGTCCCCCCCCTCCAGTGACGTCATCACCTGGGGGGGGGGGGTCTCCCCAAAATTCCCACCTGGATGCTGGCGGCGATCTGGCGGATGTAGAGCATGTTGAGATCCTCCAGGATCCGCAGCCGGCGGCCCCCCCCCACCTCCATGGGGACCCCCGGGACCCCCCCAGCTATTTTGGGGGGTTCCCCCAAAGCCCCCCGAGGGGGTCCCGCCGCATCCAGCGCTGGGGCGTAGCGGGGGCCACCCCCCCCTCTCTACCGAGGCGGCTGAAAATGGGGAGAAAATGGGCTTTTGGTGGAGCCCCCAAAACGGGAATTTGGGGGTGTTTGGGCCCCTCCCTGGAATTTGGGGGTGCTTCCCCTGCTCCTCCATCCCGATCCCGATCCCGATCCCGATCCCGATCCCGCCCCTGTCCCCCCCCTCCAGTGACGTCATCACCTATAAATAACCCCCCGCTGCAAACCGGGGTGGGGGGGGGAGCGGGAGCCCCCCCAAAATCGCCCCTCTCGTGGTTTTGGGGGGCTCCTCCAGGGGTGAACCCCTTTGGGATGAGGAGCCCATTCCACCTTCCCGGGACCACCGGGGGTCTGGGGGCAATTTGGGGGTGTTTGGGCCCCTCCCTGGAATTTGGGGGTGTTTGGGTCCTTCTCTGGAATTCGGGGGGGCGTCCAGGCTGTTTGGCGTCCCCAAAAGGCCGCCCCCTCGCAGGGAACAAGGGGGGCACTGTGCGGGAAAGGGCAGCGGGGTTGGGGTGCAGGGAGGGGATCAGGGGCAGGAATTGGGGTTCAGGGATTGGGGTGCAGGGTTTGGGGTGCAGAAATGGGGTGCAGGGTTTGGGGACATGATAGGGCAGGGTTTGGGGTGCAGGGAGGGGATCAGGGGCAGGGAGGGAATGCAGGGTTTGGGGTACTAGATTTGGGGTACAAGATTTGGGGTGCAGGGTTCGGGGTGCAGGGATTGGGGTGCAGAAATGGGGTGCAGGGTTTGGGGTGAAGGAATGGGGTGCAGGGTTTGGGGTGCAAGATTTGGGGTGCAGGGTTTGGGGTGTAGGATTTGGGATGCAGGGAGGGGATTGGGGGCAGGGAGGGAATGCAGGGTTTGGGGTGCAAGATTTGGGGTGCAGGGTTTGAGGTGCAGGGAGGGGATTTGGGGAAGGGAGGGAATGCAGGGTTTGGGGTGCAGGGATTGGGGTGCAAGATTTGGGGTGCAGGGCACGATAGGAGAGGAGGATAAAATGGGGTGCAGGAGACAAGATGGAGTGTGGGGATGGGAAAAGGGGGGCAGGGCAGGGATTTGGGCCTCCCTCTCTCCCTCCCTCCCTCCCTTCTCCCAGGAGCCGCCTCCGTGTCCCCCCCGCCCCCCCCCGCGGGGCTCCGGGACACCGGGAATGGGCGGGGGGCGCCCCCTGCTGGGGGAAATCCGCGCTTCTTGGGGGGGCCGAGACCCCCCCGGGGGCACCGGGACCGCCCCGGGACAACCGGAGCCCCCGTGGGGAGCCGGTACCGGGGGCTGGGACCCCCGCCCCGAGGGAACCGGGGCTCCTCGGGATGCACCGGGAGCTCCCCAGAGAGCACCGGGATGCCCCGGAATGCCCCGAGACCGTCCCCAAGGGCACCGAGAGCACTCGGAGCGCGCCCCGACACCCCCGAGAGAACCGGGGCCCCCCGAACGAACCGGGAGTCCTCCGAGCGAACCGAGTGAAGTTGGCGGTGAAAGACCGGGACCCCCCCCGTACGCACCGGGACCCCCCCCAAACGCACCAGGAGCCCTCAAAACGCGCCGGGTCCACCCCAGGATGCACCGACCCCCCCTCAAAATCCACGGAGACCCCCCCAGTGTGCACCGCGACCCCCGGGTGTGGGGGTACCGGGAGAACCGGGACCCCCCAAATTCCCCGTGTGCCACGGCCCCGGTGCCGCCACGTGCGGGACGCCCCAACCCTCCGGTCCCCCCGGTCCCTCCCAGTCCTCCCAGTTCCCCCCTCCCCGGCGGCTGCCGGGGGCGCGGGCGCTTCCCGCTGTACCGGATCCCACCGGAATTCCCGGCTGGGCCGGGGCAGCGGGACCGGACGGGCCGGGCCGGCCTGGGGGGGCCCGGGGGGCAGGGAGCGGCCGTGACCGCCCCCGTGCCTTCGTGCCCGGGCTGCTCCCGGGGTTCCCAGGGCTCCCGGTGCTCCAGGGCTCCCGGGGCTCCCGGTGCATCTCCTGCTCCCGGGGTTCTCGGGGCTCCCGGTGCTCCAGGGCTCCCGGAGCTCCCGGTGCATCTCCTGCTCCCGGGGCTCCCGGTGCTCCCGGGGCTCCCGTTGCTCCCGTTGCTCCCGGTGTTCCCGGGCTCCCGGTGCTGGTGCTCCCGGGGCTCCCGGTGTTCCCGGTGCTCCAGGGCTCCCGGTGCTCCCGGTGCTGCCGGTGCTCTCCCGGTGTTCCCGGGGCTCCCGGTGCTCCCGGGGCTCCCGGTGCTCCCGTACCTGCGGGGCCGGGGCCGGGGGGCAGCAGCAGCCCCGGCGCAGTTCCATGTCCAGCGCTGACCCCCGCGCCACCGTGGCGCGGCTCCGCTCGTCCCGCCGGAACATGCCCGGGGGTCCCGGTGGCTCCGGGGTGCAGAGGGTTCCGGAGACTCCCGCCGCTCCCGGAGCTCGGAGCCTTCCGAGGGGTCCCGCGGGGTCCCGGAGTCCCCGTGAGCCGGAGATTTATGGGTGGACCCGGTGCTCCCGGTGCTCCCGGTGTTCCCGGTGCTCCCGGTACTCCGGAGCCTTCCCGGCGTCCGCAGCTTCCCGGAGCCGCTGCACTCCCGGGATTCTGGGGGTCCCGGTGTCCGGAGCCCCCGGGCCAGGCGGGGACCCCGGGCCGGACGCGCGGGGCGATGCCGGTGTCGCCTCTCCGGTCCCGCTCAGCCCCGGGCTGGCGGGAGGGGCGGCGGCGATCGGTGCCGGCGGCTCCTGGCACGGCCGGGACAATGGCCCGGGGGGGCCCGGGGGACATCTGTGCGCGGGTGACACCGCTGTGTCACACATCTCTGCCACACCGGGGCTGGCACGCGCGGGGAGCCCCGAAATCCCGGGCAGGGCTCTGGGGGGTGGCGCGGTGCCACCCGCGGGGGTGACACCCGGCCGGTGACACGGCCCGGGCTGGTCCCCTCCCTGGGATGGGGGTTTGGGTGTGCGTGCATGGAGCCACGCTCAGATGGGGGATTTGGGTGAATATTCGGGATATTTGAGTGAATATTCGGGATATTTGGGTGAATATTTGGGATATTTGGGTGAATATTTGCGATATTTGGGTGAATATTCGGGATATTTGGGTGAATATTCGGGATATTTGGGTGAATATTTGGGATATTTGGGTGAATATTCGGGATATTTGGGTGAATATTCGGGATATTTGGGTGGGTATTTGGGATATTTGGGTGGGTATTTGAGGGGTTTCTCTTGGATATTTGGGATATTTGGGTGGGTATTTGAGAGTTTTGTGTGGATATTTGGGATATTTAGGTGGGTATTTGAGGGGTTTATGTGGATATTCGGGATATTCGGGTGGGTATTTAAGGGGGTTTTGTGGATATTTGGGATATTTAGGTGGGTATTTGAGGGGTTTGTGAGGATATTTGGGAGGGTATTTGAGGGGTTTGTGAGGATATTTGGGAGGGTATTTGAGGGGTTTGTGAGGATATTTGGGAGGGTATTTGAGGGGTTTGTGAGGATATTTGGGAGGGTATTTAGGGGGTTTTGTGGATATTTGGGATATTTAGGTGGGTATTTGAGATTTTTTTGAGGATATTTGGGAGATTTGGGTGGGTATTTAAGAGGTTTTTGTGAATATCTGGGATATTTGGGTGGGTATTTGAGGGGTTTGTGTGGATATTTGGGAGATTTGGGTGGGTATTTGAGAGTTTTGTGAGGATATTTGGGATATTTGGGTGGGTATTTGAGGGTTTTGTGAGGATATTTGGGATATTTAGGTGGATATCTGAGGGGGTTTTGTGGATATTTGGGATATTTGTGTGTATTGATGAAGTCAAAACTCCTCATTGTGCCCTGGGCACCATTCTGGCACCTCAGGGAGAGATTTTTGGGGCTGGATGGGGTTTTTGTGTGGATGGATGGATCCATGCTGAGATGGGAGATTTGGGTGAATATTTGGGATATTTGGGTGGGTATTTGTGGGGTTTATGTGGATATTTGGGATATTCGGGTGGGTATTTAAGGGGGTTTTGTGGATAATTGGGATATTTGGGTGGGTATTTGAGAGTTTTGTGAGGATAATTGGGTTATTTGGGTGGGTATTTGAGAGTTTTGTGGATATTTGGGATATTTAGGTGGGTATTTAAGGGGGTTTTGTGGATATTTGGGATATTTAGGTGGGTATTTAAGGGGGTTTTGTGGATATTTGGGATATTTAGGTGGGTATTTGAGATTTTTTTGAGGATATTTGGGAGATTTGGGTGGGTATTTAAGAGGTTTTTGTGAATATCTGGGATATTTGGGTGGGTATTTGAGGGGTTTGTGTGGATATTTGGGAGATTTGGGTGGGTATTTGAGAGTTTTGTGAGGATATTTGGGATATTTAGGTGGGTATTTGAGAGTTTTTTGTGGATATTTGGGATATTTAGGTGGGTATTTAAGGGGGTTTTGTGGATATTTGGGATATTTAGGTGGGTATTTTAGGGGGTTTTGTGGATATTTGGGATATTTAGGTGGGTATTTGAGGGGTTTGTGAGGATATTTGGGATATTTAGGTGGGTATTTAAGGAGGTTTTGTGGATATTTGGGATATTTAGGTGGGTATTTAAGGGGGTTTTGTGGATATTTGGGATATTTAGGTGGGTATTTAAGGGGGTTTTGTGGATATTTGGGATATTTAGGTGGGTATTTGAGATTTTTTTGAGGATATTTGGGAGATTTGGGTGGGTATTTAAGAGGTTTTTGTGAATATCTGGGATATTTGGGTGGGTATTTGAGGGGTTTGTGTGGATATTTGGGAGATTTGGGTGGGTATTTGAGAGTTTTGTGAGGATATTTGGGATATTTAGGTGGGTATTTGAGAGTTTTGTGAGGATAATTGGGTTATTTGGGTGGGTATTTGAGAGTTTTGTGAGGATAATTGGGTTATTTGGGTGGGTATTTGAGAGTTTTGTGAGGATATTTGGGTTATTTGTGTGGATTGATTAAGTCAAAACTCCTCATCCTGCCCTGGGCACCATCCTGGCACCCCTGGCACTGGCACTGGAGAGATTTTTGGGGCTGGATGGTATCCACTCTCAGATGGGAGATTTGGGTGAATATTCGGGATATTTGGGTGGGTGTCTGAGGGGTTTGTGAGGATATTTGGAATATTTGTGTGGATTGATGAAGTCAGTACTCCTCATCCTGCCCTGGGCACCATCCTGCCACCCTGGGGAGAGATTTTTGGGGCTGATGTGGTTTTTGTGTGGATGGATGAGATCCATTCTCAGATGAGAGATTTGGGTGAATATTTGAGATATTTGGGTGGATATCTGAGGGGTTTGTCTAGATATTTGAGATATTTAGACAGGTATTTGAGGGGTTTTTGTGAATATTTGGGACATTTGGGTGTGTATCTGAGAGTTTTGTGTGGATATTTGGGATATTTCTGTGGATTGATGAATTCAAAACTCCTCATCGTGCCTTGGGCACCATCCTGGCACCCTGAAGAGAGATTTTTGGGGCTGGATGGGGTTTTTGTGTGAATGGATGGGATCCACACTCAGTCGGCAGATTTGGCTGGATATTTGGGTGGGTAATTGAAGATTTTGTGTGAATATTTGAGGGTTTTTGTGGATATTTGTGTGGATCCATGAATTCCCCTCTCAGTTTCCCCCTGCGCACCAGGCCCAGCTCCCTCAGCAGGGAAACGCTCCAGAGCCCGAAGCACGGCCATGGCCCCGCTCCAGGCGCTCTCTGTGCTCCCGAGGGGCCCAGCCCTGTGCCCAGCGCTCCAGGTGTGCCCACCCGGCCGGGCAGAGGGGCAGGATGGCCCTGAGCTGCGGGCACTGCCCTGCCCGGCGCGCCCGGGATCCGCCGCCCGCAGGCCCCGGCCCGCACGGCTCGCACCGGAGGCCGCAGCGGGGTGCTCACGCCGCGCTTTCAGCCACACCTGAGGCCGCAGCGCGGTGTTCGCGCCATGCTTTCCCCCTCACCTGCACAGCGCTCACCTGGGCTCTCACCTGAGCGCTCACCTGGGCTCTCACCCCTGCCCCCCCGGCCCAAAAGCACCCGCGGCACCGGTTTCCCGCCGGGACGGCGCACAACACGCCCACATCAAAGATGGCGGCGGAGGCGTCACCCGCCGGGCATAACGGGCGGGAGCCAGTCCGGGCGGAAGCGAGTTTGGGCGGAAGTGGGTCCGTCCCGAATTGGGTCCCCCGCGGGCGGATGCGCAGGGCCTGGCGGCGCGGCGGGATGGAGGCCGGCGGCCACGGTGAGAGGGCGCGGGGCCGGGGAGGGCCCGGGGGGCTGCGGGATCGCCCCCCGGCGGGACAGAGCCCGTAGTGACCCCTCGCTGACCCCGCGTTCCCCCTGACAGGGCAGGAGGCCGAGGCGGGCGGCCATGGCGGCCACAAGAAGAAACACAAGAAGCACAAGAAAAAGCACAAGAAACGGCACCACCACGAGGCCGGGCCGCCCCCGGGGCCCGAACCCCCTCGGCAGCCCCGGCTGCGGCTCCGGATTAAGCTGGGAGGGCAGATCCTGGGCACCAAGAGGTGAGGAGGGAGCTGGGGGCAGACCCTGGGCGCCCAAGGTGGGGAGGAGGAGGAGGAGGAGGAGGAGGAGGCAGGGCCGGGCGCGTTCCGTGCCTCCCCCCAAATCCTCTCTGTCCCCCTGCAGCGTCCCCACGTTCACGGTGGTCCCCGAGGGGCCGCACTCGCCGTCCCCGCTGCTGGCAGGGGACGAGGAGGAGCCCAGCGTCCCCATCGAGCAGTACCGGGCATGGCTGGGTGAGCGGGGCAGGGAGGGACACGGGGGGCTCAGAGCGGGGCTGGGTGGGCAGGGGCTGCTCTGGTGTGACCCCCACCCCGGGGCTGTTCCCAGACGAGGACAGCAACCTGGCCCCCTCCCCACTGCCCGAGCTGGACCCCGAGAGCTGCTTCCCCCCCCGTGAGGAGGGGGAGGAGGAGGAGGAGGAAGAGGAGGAGGAAGAGGAGGAGGAGGAGCGGCGCTGGCTGGCGGCCCTCGAGAGGGGGGAGCTGGATGACAACGGCGACATCAAGAGGGAGGTGGACGAGTCCCTGCTGACAGCCCGGCAGGTCAGGGGGCTGGGGAGGGGCTGGGGGGCTCCAGACCCTGAGAGGAACTGGGCTGAGGGGGGACTGGGGAGTCTCAAAGGTCCTGGGGGGATCCGGGGGGGCTGCAGGGCAGGGCTTGGGGGGCTGGGGAGAGGGTTAGGGGTGCTCAGGGAGCTCCAGACCCAGGAGGAAGCCAGGCTGAGGAGTCTCATAACCCCTGGGGCATGACTGGAGGCATCTGGGGGGGCTGCAGAGCTCCAGACTCCGAGGGGAGCTGGGCTGAGGTGGGGCTGAGGAGTCTCATAACCCCTGGGGCATGACTGGAGGCATCTGGGGGGGCTGCAGAGCTCCAGACCCCGAGGGGAGCTGGGCTGAGGTGGGGCTGGGGGGGCTCATAACCCCTGGGGCATGACTGGGGGGGCCTGGAAGGGCTGCAGAGGAGGGGCTGGGCAGGGGTCTAGGGGTGCTCAGGGAGCTCCAGACCTAGTGGGGAGCTGGGCTGAGGAGCCTCATAGCCCTGGGGCGTGACTGGGGGCATCTGGAAGGGCTGCAGGGCAGGGCTGAGGGGGCTGGGGAGCTCCAGACCAGGAGGGGAGCTGGGCTGAGGGGGGGCTGGGGGGGCTCATAACCCCTGGGTCATGACTGAGGTGATCTGGAAGAGCTGCAGAAAGCGCAGAATTGCTGTGGGGCTGAGCTGGAACCTTTGGGGAGCGACTGAGGGGATGTGGAAGGGCTGCAGGGCAGGGCTGGGGAGGGACTAGGGGGCTGAGGGTGCTCAGGATGCTCCAGACCCCGAGGGGAGCAGGGCTGGGGGTGCTCAGGATGCTCCAGACCCAGGAGGAAGCCAGGCTGAGGAGTCTCATAACCCCTGGGGCATGACTGGGGGCATCTGGAAGAGATGCAGGGCAGGGCTGAGGGGGCTGGGGAGCCTCATAGGTGCCCGGCCCTGCGCCGTGCCCGGCTGCACCAACGCGCGCCGCTACTGCTGCGCCCGCACCGGCCGGCCCCTCTGCAGCCTGGGCTGCTACCAGCGCAACCTGCAGCTGCTGCAGGGCGCGGGGTGACGGCGCTCGGCGGGGTGGATGCTCTGAGGGGAGCAGGGCTGGGGGTGCTCAGGATGCTCCAGACCCAGGAGGAAGCCAGGCTGAGGAGTCTCATAACCCCTGGGGCATGACTGGGGGCATCTGGAAGAGATGCAGGGCAGGGCTGAGGGGGCTGGGGAGCCTCATAGGTCTTGGGGTATGACTGGGGGTGCCTGGAAGGGCTGCAGGGCAGGGCTGGAGAGGGGTCTAGGGGTGCTCAGGGAGTTCCAGACGCAGTGGGGAACTGGGCTTATAACCCTGGGGCATGACTGGGGGGATCTGGAGGAGCTGCAGGGCAGGGCTGAGGGGGCTGGGGAGCTCCAGACCAGGAGGGGAGCTGGGCTGAGGGGGCACTGGGTTGCCTCATAGGTCTTGGGGCATGACTGGGGGAGGCTACAGACCATCTACAGGGGCTATGGACCCTCCCCAGGGGGGCTATGGATCCTCCCCAGGGGGGCTACAGACTATCTACAGACCCTCACCAGGGGCTATGGACCCTCTCTGGGAGGCTACAGACCATCTACAGGGGCTATGGATCCTCTACAGGGACTATGGACCCTCTGTGGGGGGCTATGGATCCTCTACAGTGGGGCTATAGATCATCTACAGACCCTCACCAGGGGCTATGGACCCTCTCTGGGAGGCTACAGACCATCTACAGGGGCTATGGATCCTCTACAGGGACTATGGACCCTCCCCAGGGGGGCTACAGACCATCTACAGACCGTGGGGCATGACTGGGGGAATCTGGAAGGGCTGCAGGGCAGGGCTGGGGGCACTGGGGATACTCAGGATGTTCCAGACCAGGAGGAAGCTGGGCTGAGGGGGGAGTGTGGAACCTCATAACCGCCGGGGCATGACTGAGGGGCTGCAGGAAGCCCAGGGCTGGACCCGGGGGTCCCTCACACCCCTCCGTGCCCCCTCAGCGCGCGCTGCTGCACAAGCAGCAGAGCCAGCCCCTGCTGCAGCTGCCCATGGGCGCCAAGGCCAAGGAGGTGACGGAGGAGATGCGGGAGAAGCGGGAGGAGCGGGCGCGGCGCCGGCGGCTGCAGGCGGCCCGCAAGGCCGAGGAGAGCAAGAACCAGACCATCGAGCGCCTGACGCGCACAAACAAGGCCAAGGTGAGGGCCCTGCGCGAGCGCCGCGCCCGGCCCCGGCCCTGCGCCGTGGTGCACTACCGCAGCGCCGCCGACGGCGTCACCGTGTCCTTCCCCGCCGGGCTGCCGCCGCCGTACAGGGACTATGGACCCTCTGTGGGGGGCTATGGATCCTCTACAGTGGGGCTATAGATCATCTACAGACCCTCACCAGGGGCTATGGACCCTCTCTGGGAGGCTACAGACCATCTACAGGGAGCTATGGATCCTCTACAGGGACTATGGACCCTCCCCAAGGGGCTATGGACCCTCCCCAGGGGACTATGGACCCTCCCCAAGGGGCTATGGATCCTCTACAGGGGGGCTACAGACCATCTACAGTAGCTATGGACTCTCCCCGAGGGGCTACAAACCCTCTCTGGGAGGCGACAGACCCTCCCCAGGCCTCTATGGACCCTCCCTGAGGGGCTACAGACTATCTACAGGGGCTATGGACCCTGCCCAGGGGGGCTATGGATCCTCTACAGGGGCTATGGATCCTCTGTGGGGGGCTATGGATCTTCTCCAGGGGGCTACAGACCATCTACAGCGGCTATGGACCATCTACAGGGGCTGTGGATCTTCTGCAGGGGCTACAGACCCTCCCCAAGGGGCTATGGATCCTCTACAGGGGGGCTACAGACCATCTACAGTAGCTATGGACTCTCCCCGAGGGGCTACAAACCCTCTCTGGGAGGCGACAGACCCTCCCCAGGCCTCTATGGACCCTCCCTGAGGGGCTACAGACTACAGGGAGCTATGGACCCTGCCCAGGGGGGCTACAGACCATCTACGGACCCTCACCAGGGGCTATGGACCCTCTCTGGGAGGCTACAGACCATCTGCAGGGGCTATGGACCCTCCCCGAGGGGGACTATGGATCCTCTGTGGGGGGCTATGGATCTTCTCCAGGGGGCTACAGACCACCTACAGCAGCTATGGACCATCTGCAGGGGCTGTGGATCTTCTGCAGGGGCTACAGACCCTCCCCAGGGATCTATGGACCCTCTCTGGGGGGCTGCAGACCATCTACAGACCCTCACCAGGGCCTATGGACCCTCTGTGGGGGGCTGCAGACCCTCCCTGAGGGGCTACAGACACTCCGTGAGGGACTACAGATCTTCTCCGTGGGGTTACAGACCCTCTCTGGGGGCTGCAGACCCTCACTGGGACCTATGGATCTTCTCTGGGGGGTGCAGACCCTCCCCAGGGGTCTGTGCACCCTCCCGGGGGGCTGCAGACCCTTTCCCGTGGGTACCAAGGCCCCATCCCCAGCCCTGCAGAGTTCGTGGGTTATCCTCGTGGGGCTGGCAGAGGACCCTGCAGCATTCCCGCTCTGGGGAGCCCCAGATGCTCCGTGTGGGGACAGAAGGCAGCACAGGGGGCTTCAGAGCGTCTGCTGGGGGTGCGGAGGGCCCGGCCGGGACACGGGACGGGCAGAGCTGCGGCTCCCCGGGGACACGGCGGGCTGGGGACCCGGGCAGGCAGGGAGGGAGGGCGGTCCTGAGGCGGGTCCTGTGGCGGAGCTCATTAAAGGCTGTTCGTGAAGGAGCCGCGTGTGGCCTGATGGCGTGGGAGACAGCCCGGTACCCCCCGGGAGCGCTGTGGTACAGCCCGGCCTCACCCCCGGGAGCGCTGTGGTACAGTCCGGCACCCCCCGGCTGTGGGACAGCCCCGCTCCCCCCCGGTGCGTTATAGCCCGTCCCGGGTGGGCGGGGCGCTCTCCGGCAGCGCCCATTGGTTGGGGACATGCCTAGAGGAAAGCGGCAACGCTGATTGGTCAGACGCTTTGCCAATCAGGCGGTCGAAGAGCTGCCTGCTCGCCAATTGGCCGCGCTGTGCCGAGTGCCCGCCCCGGGGCGGGCCGGGAGGCCGCGCCCTCCGTCGAGCTCGCGGCTGGGTCTCCATTGGCGAGCGCCGCTGTCAGTCACAGCCTGTGGGCGGTGCTCTGCCTCCGGTTGGCCCCTACAGCCGCCAATCACGGCGGGGGCGGGGCTCGGCTTCTTTGTCTCTGTTGTTGGGCGTGAGACTCAGGCAGACGGCGAGCGATTGGCTGCCGCCGGACGGCGGCGGCGCCGCCCATTGGCTGTCGCCTGCAGCGCGTCCGTTGATTGGCCGACGGTGGCCTAGGGGGCGGGATTTCGGGCCGGGCGTGATGGCGGCGGCGACGGCCCCGGCCCGGGCGGCGGCGGCCGCGGGGGCCGCGATGGC